AAATGAGCTAGAAATGCAAATTTCAACGAGTGTTTTTGCCAAAATTACAAAAATACATACTTTTCCACTCAGGAAGCATTAATGGGAAGTATTTGTTACAGTGAAGTGTGTGTGTGTGGATTACTCAGCGTAAAGTGGGGACTTTTTTTGGAAAGACATGTTGCTGTTTTATTGTATTGGAGGCAAAAATGTCAATGGCAGACATCCCAAAACCTGAAAAAACACTGGTTGCATGGCTTGATACCACTTGAGGTACGTGTTTGTAATTTGGGTAAACGGACCATTTAAGCTTTTCATCCTTATCATTCTGGTCTTGTCTGGTTCACTACCAGCACACAAGTCCAATGTGAAAACGTCTGAAAATGGGGCCCGACTGCATCCTTTACGCTACACACAACCCACATGGTGCACGTGAATGAGCACACTTGCACACAAACCAAACGCATGTGAACTCTGCTTGCACCACAACAGAAAGAGACATGAGTATTGTCAGATTTTTTTGAGGTACTTGCGGCATGATTGTGTGAGACAACGTGTTGAAGTGACTCAATTTAAGCAAACGAAAGGGAGAAGAGAGTTTCTGAAACGTCTTGATCTGGTGAGCTCTGTCAGCGGTCGTCGGTTCTGTGGTGAGGTGGACCTCACAGGCTGTCGGCCACATTTATGTTCAACCCAAAACCCTGCAGGACCATTAGCGACCAAGCTAAGTATCAGGACTGTTGAGGCTCTGGCAGCCTGCTGTCTGTCCTGACACGAAACATATTTTGTGTTAACTAGCAGATTCAAGGTATGTAACAGTAGGAAAGAGGAAAAAGCCCAAACACTAAAGCGGCTTTAATTCACAGTATTTTATTCTGAAAACCATAAAATGTTTTTATGATAAGAGCTCCAAGTGTGTCGGCTTTTCTCTCTTCCACCTTAAGAAAAAGGACTTTTCACTCACCGAACCTCTTGTATCCAAAAGACTGTACTTCCTCCTCGTCTGCAAAGTCGTCTGTGTGACATAATCAGAAACATGACATAAGTAGGTCATATGCACACTACTCAGAGTACACTGTGTCTAAAGCAATTGGTGGGACTCTACAATCAAAATAAAACAGAAAGAAACGCTGCAGGGCAGCGGCACAGAGCCAACAATTCAACATGTTATCCTCGAGTACAAACATCTCAGTTTGACATGTGGAGGCGGTAGACAGCGCATTAGGTCAGAGATAGAGGAGTATCATCTTTTGTCTGTCTGTGTGTGTGTGTGTGTGTGTGTGTGTGTGTGTGTCTGTGTGTGTATGTGAAGATAGGAGGTCCAGAGAACTGTAAAAGCCACAGGCTGCGGTTTCTCTGGGTTGTTGACAGTAAACTCTAATTACACTCTGCTGCACTATGAAGACTGGAGCAGTAATGGTAAACAGATGGGATCCAGAGGGGAGACAAGGGTTGAGCTGAGTGTGTGTTTGTTGGTGGGGGGGGGTCAGAGGGGGTACGAGTGGTATTTCACCTCAGTTTCTCCGGGTGAAATGAATATTGTTGTTATCGATGCCACAAATACGTTGCTGTTAAGAGGTGGAGTGACAGCATAAATACAGCAGTTAATCAAGTCTGGTCATCATCACTCAAGCGGGATATTTTCTTCAGGATAATAAAGTTTTCTTGTTTCTCAAATATTAAATATTCAACAAGTAAAAGAAAACGTGGTTTGGTCTTTTATATCTTTTAATTAAATGTGACTGTGTGGTGTAAGACGAAAAAAAACTTTCTGCACCGCAGTACCGTAATGTCATCCAGATGTGAATCACGCACCACAAAGAAATACGCACCGAAATCTGGAAAGAGTGTAATCTGTGCATTTGGAAAACGCTCACTTTTAAAATAAATATCAGCTGCATGTGAAGGACAACATACCTTTCATGGCGTTTTCTAAATCGTTGAGGGTTGTAGAAGAGATGAGGACCCCTGTCACTTTCTACGCATCTCAGCATCCAGTACAATGGTGCAAATTTGATCCACGACACGCACGAATAAAATAAATAATAAAACTATAAGTTTGTCTTCATGTCTTCAGTTTAAAATCCCATCGTCTCTGTTCACTTGCTCGCTTAGTTTCAGGGGAGTTTTAGCAGGAGTGATGTGATGTTAGCGGAGCCTGAAGGAGAAAGACTACCAGTGTAAAGTTACAGAGAAAAACTACATGCACTTCCGGTGTTGCTTTCAGAATTAAATCACATTGTTGCGTAAAACTGTGTATAAAAATGAACTTTTACTTTTACAACCTAATAATTCATATCCAATCTAACACTAAATATTTAGCTTTTATCTGGATTCTCCCAAGCACACACTCTGAACTAAAGGTAGAATTTGACATTTTGGGAAATAGTCGGGCATATCGTTAACCCTCTGTTGAAAATATATTGTTTTTATACTAATTGAACAAGTAAAACATAATGTGTGAGGTTAACTATAACCTACCTTGTCACATGTCGTAAATGGGCCCACAGAAGACATGTTGGGCTGTCGAACAGCAACCACAAACAACATGGCTACGGCTATACTGATAGAAACACACCCCAACAGAAACACACACCTGTGGGCCTCTGACAATTACCCACACAATTACTTTATCAAAGTGCCATTAATGTGTTTTTAGAGTCCGTCAGAAGCATACAGTCCTTTAGCTATATCAAACAATAAAGACGTTTCTGACCCCCAAAACAAAGGCCGACCTTAACAACTCTCATTTTGAAGGCTGAGCCTCATTTCCGGTGCTGTCCTATCTACATCATCACCAGCTTCATTTGGCCACAACCCCTGTCTCACTCTAGGTTTTTGAAGTCATCCCAGGGACGGTCCCGTCCTCCCCTGCTGAGCTTCCCCCTGTCGGCATAGAGGAGGTGCGGACAGACCCCGGGACGTCGTGCAGCGTTGCAGTAATCCAGCCGGAGATGAGATTAAGTTACTGGGGGGTTGATGGCAATCACGTCCCCGGGTAAAAAATCTGGTACCCATTAAAGATAATTTCAAAGGTTTGAGGAGGTCGAGGGACACCGAAACGGCGACATTTCAGTGCAGTTCCTGTGTTTTTTTTTTACATATTCACATCTCGTTTCCTGTCAGGATGAAAAATCACTTTCATATTCAAATGATATTCCTTCAGGGCCATTTGGCCTCTCCGTGATCCTCAGTGATATGCTACTCATGTGGTTTGGGGTATTTTATCAACTGATTTATCATAATAACTTCACATAGTTATACTACTGCAAAATGTTCATATTTTCAAGTCATATTCTATTACAGTTAAATCATTTTAGCGCAGGCAACTTTTTAAGGGAAATTGCTGGAAATAAGTCTGTATTCTCAAACAAAGACAAATAGCGTCATTAAAATCAAGAAAAATCACAAAATAAAATACTTGGATTAAGTTGATTTCATAAATGAAGTTTCCCTACTACTTTGATTGATGAAAACAACGTTGTAGATGACGTAGATTTTGGCATTTTAGTGCTAAATTATCTGTTTCAGGCATAATAATTTTACAGTGTGCGTACTGTTATCTTCCTTTTAATGTCTGTTTCATAGGAAACAAGATTAATTTGCTTTGCTGTGACACACAATAACTTTCTTAACTTTCTCATTCGATGATATAGATCTTTTAATTTGTTTACTTTTGCTACAACAATGATTTCTGTTGCATAAAATGGTCCCAAACGGCAGCCAATACTTGACCACAATCTATCAAAATTAGACTGTAAGGTTCACCAGCGGCCGTTTCCCCTTTTGACTCCTCCCAGGTGCAGTGATCATTTCAACAGTTCCTGTCTCCATAATCTCTCCAAGCCTGCAGATGCAGATCACTGATCAAAGGCAGAAAACAGCTGCATCAGACTTCAAAGAAATTAAACAGACCCACTCTTGTGTCTGCAGGTTATAGTGTCACACTGATGTGGCCCCGATGTTAATCTCTTTTACACTCGCTCAGTTCAAACCAAGTGATTTACAGGAAAAAGATACAGATAACACCAACCGTGCCAGCTATAAAATCATCAGAGCTTTAAAAAACACAACACAGACATCCAACCCAGATCTGTTTAGCTTCTTTCTTTGGATAACACATCCTTCAAACAGGCTCAGTAATAGCTGGAGTTTGACCCGGTCCACCACAGCTTAGACTCCAGACTCGCCTGAGATGATAAAGCGACTAATTACTTGCTTTCCTAAAGGCTTCAAAACTGTTATTTTACTGTCGGCTATAATTGGAGCAGCAGGCTGGTATTAGGGCCCAGATAGGGATCGTGGCATGCTGATAAAAAGCAGCTGAGGGTCAGGTATCTTGCAGCCTCGCTCCTGCTGGTCCTCATTCAGAGGTTGGGACCTCATTTGCCGGGTCAAGGCTTTTTTAGCAGTGGGCTCAGATTAACAGAGAGCTGAGAAAGCACACAGGAATTCCACATTGACCACGCTGCTGCCCTGTTTAGATACCGCGATAAGAACAACTCGGATTGTCTTGTGTGCAGCAGGAGAGAGTCGCTGGTGCTACAGGCCTGAAAGACGGGAAGCAAGATGACTTTTTCCTCATGCAGTGCTGACACAATGTGATGGATGCTCTAGAATTTAAATATACAGCATGTGGTGCAGCATGTGTTTTTGTATTAGCATGCATATTTGCACATCTACATGCAGTCCTTCTCCTCTTGTTGCCCCGTTAAGCCAAGAGCATGCCAGTGTGTGTGCCAGGTCTCTGCAGGAAGCTCAGGCTTACTGTCAGTGTGACGGAAGTTAGAGCAGAACTTTTTCCTGAGGAGGGCTGGTGGAGCATGTCGGGACACAATTAAGTGGGATATACCTGCAAACAATTGAGCAAGTAGTGTTTAGAGTGTCTTAAAGTGATCTGCAGTTATGCTGCGCAGCACAAGGCTTAATTATGCCAACTCACTAATAGGATCTGTGCTGGTGAGCAGATCCATAAAAATAGAACAATCCTTTGAGGTCACCCTCATCTCTCCAACAGCACAACCTGCTGCTTTTGTTCTGGAGTCTGGTGTTTTCCTCACAGCATTTACAAAGGTAATTATTTAGTTATTTAGTTTTTGTTCTGCATTAATGATCACAATGATTCCTTCTGTAACGGTGCACTTGGAGAAGGTATTTCTTCACAGGCAGCATCAAATGCAATAGTCATTTTCCATGAAGATGGATTTTAGGACTCATGCAGTGGGATACAACACATGCAACACATGCAACCTGAGAGATACAAACAGTAAAGCTTTGTGTTGTGAGGGAAAGGTAATGACAATAATTAGCTTCAGCATTGAAAGTATCCACAATATGACATATTTATGTTGTGTGGGCACTGCCAGTTTGATTCATATTATTATTATTTTGTTTATATCTTTTCATTTTGTTGATGGATACATGTACACAGAGATGTAATGCAAAGTATAAAAGTTACACACTGTTGCTGAATGTGCACCTTTGCAAGTGCTAGAAGAGTCCTCTATCTTATTTACTAAGGAATGAATAAATAGTTATTTCAGCTCTTAATCTTGTGAATTCATAATAATAAATATAATGTCAGTGTATTATTGTTATTATCCTTGTTGTGTAAGGTGATTAGATGACAGTTGTCTGCAGGAGCATCATGCGTATCTGGCTTTAAGCTGATGTGATATTCCATGCGTTGTTTTAACATTTAAATTGCCTCTGCATTAAAATGCTTGAGAACTGGCACCACCTTGTGGCAGGTTACATGGCCGGTACATGACACATCTATATGAAGAGCTGGTACTGTGTGGTGCTCCACAGCAGAATAATGAGTAACTTCTTAACTTTTTACAGAGCTCAAGACAGGATGAGGAGGCTGCTTGTTCAAATCCTTTGCATCACCAAAGTCCTGCTCTGTGCGGCCGACTCTCCTCCGCTGAGCGAGGACACGCTGAAAAGTGAGACGTTCAATAACAGAAAAAACACTGAGATGTACTTCTTCTTACCAGTATTGGTTGATTACAGTATGTTCCATTGATGTGTGTGTAGAGCTGTCTGCAGCAGGAGAGCAGTGCGTGGATGAGGAAATAAAGCGGGCGTTACTCGGAGTGAAGCAGGTGAAGGAAACGATGGAGAAAAAAGAGGAGAGGCACCGACATCTCATGGAGGCCCTGAGACACAGCAGGGACAAGAAGAAGGTATGAACTGTGTTTCTGCCACAGTGTGTAGTTGAGCAGTTACACGCCAGTCTTTGTGATTTATTCTGAAGCTCATGACATATTTTCTGCCTCATTAAGGCAAAGCCACACAAAGCCTCACAGAGAAACCTCAAAGCAGACAGTGAAGAATGAATGTGGGAGTGGGGCTGGTTTAGGGAGTCGGGGTGTAGCTTTACCGCAGTCAGGATAAATGAACTGTCTGTAGATTTAACATCATTTCAAAATAAAAGGCTTTCTGCCAACCACATCATATACACTCTGGCTTATTAAGATGTAATGTATCCGTGACAGCATTTTCTCTTTTTGGGGTTTCTTCAGGGGGCGATGCAGCTGGTCTGGGAAACAGAGCAGAAACTAGAGGAGGCTGAGCAGCAGTGTCAATATTTAACCAAATCCTCCTTTGAAGAATGTCAGCCATGTCTTGAAGATACTTGCAAGGCCTTCTACACGTCTACATGTCGCCGCGGCTTCGCCTCCTTCTCATTCAAGGTTATAACGGTCTCAGACATTCAAAATGATAAGAGTTGAGACTGATTTGTTTCAGGCTCCAGCTGTGATGGTTCCTCTATACATTTCTCTCTGCAGGTGGAGGAGTTTTTCAGGAGAATGGCCGCCCAGCTGGAGGCCGAGGAGCATGTTTACAATCAAAACGAGGAGAGAGTGGGTCACACCGACTCACCCGAGAACCAGCTCCCAGAGGACGGTGCAGATCTGGAGCTTCTGCAGGCCGACGCGTCGTTCGGCCGGCTGCTGTCGAACACCAGCCTCCTGTACGGCCGCAGCACCGCGCTGGTGAAAAGGATGCAACAGGTGTTCGGGCATTCCTTCCTGGCGGCCTTCACCGCAGATGTCCGACCCAGCCCGCTGTCTTCCATGCAGGGCAGCTCCGGCGCTGGCTTCTTCGGGACGTTGGGTCTGGATCACATCCTCGAGTCTGTATCTGACTTCGGGAGGAATGTGCTGGATGAACTGAGCTCCACAGTGGCCGATGTATTTGAGGAGATACAAGAAGCAGAGATATACTTTCAGCAACCAAGCACAGGTATCTGATGCCAATCGAAGTAAAACATTTGTGTTTACACTACAGACCATTTTTAAAGTTTTAAACGTTCAAAATGTGTCCTGTTTATTTTCTGTTGCAGTGCAAGAAACTTGTAAAAAAAAGTGTATTGTTGTGTTGTTGTTGTCAAAATGTATTTGATTGTTATAGAGCATCTCAATAACTTAACTGTTAATGATATTTAATAATCTCCAGGAGTGCTAACGTCAGCCAGCTCTCTCTCTATAATGTTTCCTATTATTGTCAAGAGGTTGCATCTTATATGCCTCTATGAATCTGGACCTACTTGCAACATTAAAAATGGTGTCACGATGACATAATGACCTTTCCTTTTAAAGATTCCTTGTTGCAAAGTATGTGAATGACATCTGACAGGAAGTAAACATGGACCCAAACTGTTGATTAGCAATGCAGTTCAATTGACACGGCCTATGTATAAAATACTAATATATCCAATGTTGACATCTGTTAGTGTATGTTTATCTACAAAAGGTACAGCAGCCCTGTCTGCTGTGGGACAGCCACAGAGCAGACATCTGTGCAGACGACTGCGCAGACAAGCATCAGAGTGCTGGCAGCTCCAAAGTTTGTGCGAGACGTGTGAAGATTATCTGTTAAAAGGTAAATAATTAGCACAAAGAACATGTTGTTTTTAGTGAGCACTATTGGTTTCATATCTATTTAGCAGTCACACAGAACAGATTTGCACGAATGTTCCTGTCTCCACCTTAAATGCAAATTCTGGCCAATTAAAAACTCTCTTTCATACATTGCAGAGTTCATCTTAATCTTTTTACAACTATTCTTTCAACTGACGGGGTATAATAGGCATTATGAGTGAAAACATTTAGCAGGATGGTAATAATTTGATGGTTATTTGACTGGTTATTATTAGTTGGATTAATCGTTTAATGTTCAGATGTATTGCTTCATGTTTAATTTAACGCTGATAGAAAACAGAAAAAAACAAATTATCACATTCAAGCAGCTGAAACCAGAATATGTTTTGCATTTCCGCTTTATGACTGAACAAGTTAAACAGTGAGTCAATTATCACAATTGTTGACTGATGAACTAATCGACTAATCATTTCATCACTTTTTAGATTCGAACTGCTGGAGGATTACTCAATTTTAAATATAACTGATGGCATTTTAGCTATTAAATATTCTGCACTGATGCAGCAATCAGCAAAAGACATGTTTGAAATAGTTGACTTTTACTCAGTTTTTCTGTTGTTGACTTCATGCACGCTGCTCTGCATGTGCTCATTTGTACTCACAGAGTGTCCCGGCGTCCAGCAGTTACACTCTGAGACGGAGGAGATGCACATGCTGCTCAACGCCTCCCGTCAGCAGTACGACGACAGGCTGCAGCTGGTCCAGAGACACACAGCGGACACGCAGAGATGGCTCGGAGACATGGAGGACAAGTACGGCTGGGTCGGCCGGCTGTCCAACAGCACCGTGGGCCCACGCGGCACCTTCAGTGTGATCACAGTACGTCTGCAGTAATGTTTGTCTCTGTCTCATAGTAGGTCATTTGGGATGTTATGAGGGTTGCTAAGTGCCAAAATGCGCTTTACTTGTGTTGTTTACAGTTAATCCTACATGTGGTTTAATTATGTCATAGATAATTGACTTGATCCCTAAAATGAATCAACAAAGTTTAAATTAAAGCTCCAAAGCCAAAGTATATAAAATAGCCTACAATGTGTATGATTATTTTGGCTGGCAGGAATCTTGTTTTATTATTTTATTATTGTATTTTTGCCATCACTGATGCAGTTCCACTTATTCTTGTTTTTCAGGTGACTGCACAGCAGCAGCAGCTGAAGACCATGAGACCTAAAGCTGAGAGCAGTGTGGTTGTAACCGTACTGGACTCAGGACCAGTAACCGTCTCCGTCCCCTCAGAGCTGGAGGTGGACGACCCCGTTTTTATCCAGTATGTAGCTCAGGAGGCTCTGGCACTCCATAAACAGCAGATAAGAGGTATTGATCCCTGCAGTGTTGTGGCTTAGTTAATTATCTGGCTCCCAGCTTCAGCTGGCAGAGCTCCAACTTCAATTTGAGTAAAATTAAATGTGATCGTTTGAAACCGCCAACTTTACACCATGACAAATCTCATGTGCATTTCTTCAAATGCAATCTTCTCCTGAAAGCCACAATGCAAATGATATTATATGTTATAATCCAAAATGATGAGGTAACTAAGAAACGATCGTAAATTGAATCCTTCACTGGCTTTCTATTAAAAGATAAAATGTACCCTGTGCAATGCAGCATTGTTATTTAGAGCCATGGAAATATTTAAGCTTTTGTCGATCTTTAAAAACTGTTTTATGTTTTGTTTTTTCTCCTTGAATTGAGTAAAGTCCAGTTCTTGAATAATTAAGCATATCTTTGTAAAACTTGAACATGCACATCTTTTATTCTTTGTATTCATTCTTAGGGTTTAAAATGTTTATGCAATAAATGTATGTATGCTGTGCTTGAGCCATTCTTTTGTTTTTGTCACAAGTCATCCAAATAAAAGGAATCGTTCACATGATGACTTTTTACATCAAAATTTTAAATATAATATCTGCATATCATTCTTCAGTTTCTGTATTTATGGGAGGGCAATATACATACTTGAATTAAATTTCAAAGGAGTTTATATTTATTAGTATTTATAAGTAGTCCCTTATCCCTTATCCCGCATTTTACTCGTAATTACTCGTTTCATGCCTATTTTATTTATCAGTAACTATAGTTTTATTATTATTTTCTGATACTGCTAAGAATATTTTATGTTTCCTGTTTTTGTTGTAAAGATAACAAATGTAAAAAGCAGGGTGCGCTTTTCTTCAGTACTCTCGCGAGATTTCGTATCATAACAGGAGGCAGTCCTTCAAACAGTGTTGCCAACTTGGCGACTTTCTCGCTAAATCTGGCGACTTTTCAAACCCTCATCTCGACTGTTTTTGTCAAAAGCTACTAGCGACAAATCTAGCTACTTTTTCTGGCGTTGTTGGAGACTTTTCTGGTGTTTTGACTCTGACGTGAAAGCCCCTCGCGCAGCAGTCCCAGCTGCAGAAAGAGGAGACCTACACTCTCCGTGTCCAGACTGCAAATGAATCGCGCATGCGCAAAGCCGCCGCTGTTCCCGCCTCTCTCCTACAGCGCTCATTACGATGGGTGCTTCTCAAGTCTCTTAACTGCATCCCCGTTTCCCTCACTTGCGTCCTTTCCTTGCGTCTTAGTCCCTCCCACCAGGGATGCATGGAGGAAACCATGCGAGGAGAGAGGAACGAGGAAATATGTTTTAAGATACATCAGACGTCCTTTCCTCAGTTGCGTCACGTGAAGCGAAGTCTGTTTCTGATGACGGTGGCTGATGATCACAGCTGGATCAGCTGTCAGTCAGCTTTAACAGCTGGAGAGACTTTTGATAAGTTAGTGTCTGTTCACATGATCACTGTACTTAATAATAGTAACTAATAACACTAATAACTAATAAAGACACACAGTAATCACCACTGTAGAGGTGTTTCTCTCTGTAGTCTGTTATCAAACTGTTCTGTGTTCTGTTTATAAGCGCAGGATCCATTTCTACCGGCGGAATGCGATCGTCTTATTTCTGAATTATTTGCGTCTGTACGTTTTGAAATTCAGATTGTGACGTCGATATTAAATAACCCAGAATATGATTATTGTTTCTCTTAAATGATAAAACTCATCAAACCCGACAATCAGGAATGAACAGCCTCACGTGACTGAATGAAATGATGATAAATGATGTAAAAAGTGTTTAGTCTCTCTCTCTCTCTCTCTCTCTCTCTCTCTCTCTCTCATATATATATAAGTGTTATATATATATATATAAGTGTTATATATATAAGTGTTTCGTCTCTCCAGTTCCCTCTGACTTTAATTGTTTCCATAATAAAAGTTCAGATCATGAAAACACAAATCTTTCTAATAAATGAAGAAAGTTGTTTGTGGTCCTTTTGTTGTTACAGACTACAATGAACATTTATTTAAACCAGATGTTGAATATGGCGGCGCAGAACAACTTCCGGTTCAAGCGAGGCTCGAGGAGCGAGGAAATGAGAATTAAGAGACTTGGGATGTACCCACTGTATCATAACGGAAGCAGTCCTCGAAATCACGCGGGGAAACCCACCGCTGACACAACACAACACTTCTTTCTGTCAAATCGTGCAAGCTACTCTTTTGTCGACTAAAAATGCCCTCCACGTCAGAAATACACACCGCAGACGGCTGTACAGTGGAGGAGGAGGAGGAGAAGAAGAAGAAGAATTCTGCAGCGGCGGAAGAGAAGAAGAAGAGCGTCGGTGCTTTCTACGATGAACGCGGGTACCTGGATCAGATCGAGTACATCATGCAGCACGGCCGCAGGAAGGGGGACCGAACCGGGACCGGAGTCGTGTCTGTGTTCGGTGCTCAGGCCAGATACAGTCTGAGAGGTGTGTTAGTTATCTTTGGTGTTAAATGTCATTACTGTGCATGCAACTGCAACTGCAAAAGAAACTCAAAGCAAAGTAAATTATGCAGAATGTACCATTTCAATGTAATACATACACTAATAAAAAAATAACATGTTTACATGTGGTTTAAACAATCAACAGTGCATCCTTTATTATGAAGTGAAAATCTTAATCTGCAAAGTAACTAATAAATATAACTCAAATATTTGGAGTGGAGTAAGAGGTACAAATATCTTTGCATTTTAGTGGCGTGGCAGTTTAAAATATTTAAATAAAACTAGTTCATGCAAAGAGATGTTTGTGGTGTCAGCAGTACATCGTTTAAACACAAGGGAGCACTGACAGGTTTATTTATATTACAAATATTTACCAAATGTGATTTTTGTAATTGTGTCTTATGTAAATAGTGCTGATTTATTTTTTTTATACCCTCACACGTAATCAGTGCTGGCCTCAAAGATCCAGCATGTTTGGCTATTGAATGTACTTTGTTACTTTCCACCACTTGCTGTAATTAATTATGTATTCAAATGTTAAATAACCTTTTTCCTGGTTTTACTCGTAGATCAGTTCCCCTTGCTGACGACCAAGAGAGTGTTTTGGAGAGGCATTCTTGAAGAACTGCTGTGGTTTGTTAAGGTGAGAATGACACAAGATCGACCTATTTCTTTTCAACTCACCCAAATGATTTTGTAAAAAGAACATTTTCTTACTTTCCTCTAGTGGTTTATAGCCATGCAGGTAGTTTTGGGGTTTGATTGCTGAGGTTCTTCTCCACATCTGTAGGTGGAAAACACGGCAATTTGTTGGAGCTGAGTCTTCACGTTCACATGCAGCATTTTTTGTGTCAGAAAAAAGCTCTGAATTGGGCTCTGATGTTTCTTCCCTTGTGTGGTCACAGGGATCAACAAATGCCAAGGAGCTCTCAGAGAAAGGGGTGAAGATTTGGGAAGCCAACGGGTCACGTGACTTCCTGGACAACCTCGGGTTCACGGATCGAGAGGAAGGCGACCTGGGACCCGTGTATGGTTTCCAGTGGAGGCACTTCGGCGCAGAGTACACAAACATGCATGCAGGTGAAGTTACAGTAGAGCTACACGCATATATATATATAAATAAAATATGATGTAAGTACATTTGAAGCTGCAGTTAGCATAGAGTAAGTGAAAAAAGTGTGTTGCTCCTTTTAAACTTCACTAGATAACATATGTGATTTTAATTATTTATTCCTTTAAATAGATCACATTTCGAAGGCATATTACACAGATGCAGCTTCACACACTTACCAGAATACTGTGCCTCTGCTCTTAAATGATCCTTTTTTTTGTTTTATTAATTCCTTCCACAGATTACACAGGACAAGGTGTTGACCAGCTGCAGAAGGTCATTGACACCCTCAATAAGAACCCAGAGGACAGGCGGATCATCATGTGCGCTTGGAACCCTAAAGGTCCGGCACTTGCAAAATCTAAATCTACTTGAACTAATCCTAAACTATCATTTTAATTAGAGCGTCTTCTCCTGCAGACCTGCCCCTCATGGCGCTGCCCCCCTGCCACGCCTTGTGTCAGTTCTACGTGTGTGACGGCGAGCTGTCGTGTCAGCTGTATCAGCGTTCGGGCGACATGGGCCTCGGGGTGCCTTTCAATATTGCCAGCTATGCACTTCTTACCTACATGATCGCACACATCACGGGACTCAAGGTAAAAGCACTCTTGTCCAAAAACAACCTAATTTTAAGCGTGTTGTCGTGTGCTCAACATACTTTATTTTTTACTGTCCCTGCAGCCGGGCGACTTCATTCACACACTAGGAGACGCTCACATCTACGTCAACCACATGGAGCCTCTCAAAGTGCAGGTGGGTCAGTTTAAAGATGGCTTTCCGTCTCCCTGCTCTCGGCCTGCTCTCTGACTTACTCGTCTTGTCTAAATTTCGCAGCTTCAGAGGGAGATCCGGCCCTTCCCCAAGCTGAAGATCCTGAGGAAAGTGGAGAGCATCGATGATTTCCGCGCAGAAGACTTTGAGATCTGCGACTACAACCCTCATCCCACCATTAAGATGCAGATGGCTGTGTAAAGATCCAACTTAGATAAGAAAATGTAAAACATGTTGCTTATATTTTGTCATTCATTCACATTTTAAAAGTTCAGTTCATCCAAATCACAAAAAAGGTAAAGTGGTTTCATTTCCTTCTGATTTTGGTGAACTGGCATTTAAAACCACAAGTTCTTAGAGAAAAGTATTTTCTTCTATAACTAAGTGTAAATATGCCAGTTAGTTGTGAAATTTTCCTTTTTTCTGGATTTGTACAGAATTGTTGACCCAAAGGAGCCGAGCAGCAACACACACAGATTAATAAATCAAAGGTCTGAATACAACAGTTCCTGCTACTCTTGCAGTGTTATTAGGTTATTGTTACATATTCACTCCACTTAGCCAAGTCTGATTATAAGACTAAAAAGGAGCCTTCTGTAAAATGTTTCTTAGTTTGTCTTCAGCTTCCAAACATCTCCTTCAGGGTACTGGTGTCTCTGCACTGATGATTCCAGCATCTCACAAGAGTAGCCTGGATCCTGAGAACAATGAGCACAGCGTACTCAAACAAGTGCACTTCTGAAATACTTGCATTTCCTTTTTCCTGCTACTTTTGTTTTTACTCCATCACATTTATTTGACACCTTAAAAGTTACTTTACAAATTCAGATTATACAAAATGTAATTAATAAATGTGTTGTTATGGTTGAAAATAAGACTTTATTGATCTCTTGGTGAAATTCACAAGCCACCCGGCAGTATATAGAATGAAACATATGTTCCTCCTTTACTAGCTGCAACAATAAAATGTACATATTCGTGCATCAATAATTGTAATTCAATAAAATCAAATACATATTCTGATATCAGCCAATCTGCATATATCATACTTTACCTTTTGGTATTGTAAGTATATTTTATATTCATTTTGTACGTCATCGTTTCCAGCTGTCCTTCGTCTTACCTTGGGAGGCATGTAGTGGGCGTCATGAATCACCACAGGACTGGTGAAGTGTTCATGCAGGTGATCCACATATTCACACATTCTGGCAAGTAAAAAAAAGGAAAATTGCTGAAAATAATTTGCTAATCTGTTTCAGTCACGAGCTCTTAGCAGAAACAAATCCTGCTCTTACCGGTTGCTGAGACTCGCAGACACACCGATGTAGTCGAACAGAATCAGATGCTGGACGAGCTCACAGAGACCGACTCCTCCAGCGTGAGGACAAACGGGCACTAAGAAGATACAGTAGTATTTGTATTGTAGCCATGTTTTTCATACAGATATCACACTTTGGATATGCTAATTTACCCCGGAACTTGTGGGCCATCAGCAGCACAGCCAGGTTCTCGTTGACGCTGCCCAGGCGACAGCTGTCTATCTGGACAAACTGCAGGGCTGAGGCCTGGAGGAACTGCTTGAACATCACCCTGTTGTGACACTGGAGAGGAAACGGTAACTCGACAAATGTCAATTCATCAGCCAGTGATACGTATGCTCGAACAAATATGGAGGTCTGACCTGCTCTCCTGATGCCACTCCAATCCCGAGTGGAGCCAAAGCCTGCAACAACGAAGTCAAACATCTTTTATCAGTCGTCAACAGTGGACGGATTACTGAACAGATGCCCAGAGGCAAAGAAACAAAACAACCACAAATAGACATAAAACTTAGAAGCAACAATACCACAAAGAGACTCAAAACGACCACAAAGAGACTCAAACCGACCACAAAGAGACAAACAACGACTTGCGTTTTGTCTTTCCTTCCATCTGGTTGTCTTGCTTCTATGTTGAAGGGGTGAGGGGCTTTAATAACGGTTTATAGACATTTTAATAGTTGCAGTCACTTATTTATTGTATTTAAGTTGTAAAAATGTATCTTTTGTTTCTATTCTATTATCATTTTAAATTTTTTTTTTAATTTCATGCTGTCTTCCTACCATTACTATTACTATAACTTTGAATTCTATTTTATTACATTTTAGCATTTTATTGTCTGGCACGCATTGGTTTTACGTTGTTGCATTTTATATATTTTAATTTATTTATTTTTGTGCTTTATCTGTTGTTTTCTCGGTCCACACTTGTTCTGTACTAACCTCCATAAAATGTGCTCTATAAATACAGTTTGATTGACTTTAAGTGTCTGTGCACAGAGATCTAATTGTCTCTTTCATGTCTTCCAACATGGAAAATCTAACTTCTTTCTCACCTTGGAGATAGCAGCGTGACCCAGGATGTCATCTGGAGACGTGGGCTCCTCGATCCAAAGAGGTTTGAACTCGGCCAGGCTGGACACCCAGCCGATGGCCTCGGCTACGTCCCACCTCTGGTTGGCATCGATCATCTTAACACAACAACACTTTAGCACACTGTCATTTCTTAATATGAATACGATGTTGAGGGGGGCAAATCAACAACCATACCAAAGTGTTATCGGGCCCAATCATTTGCCTTATGAGGCGGCACCTGTGTATATCGTCCTCTAGATCAGCACCGACTTTCACCTTGAATTTGGTCCAACCGCTTTCAAGTGCATCTGTGCAGAGCTTCAGAAACACACAACTGTCACGCTTCTTTGAAAACGTTTTTTTTTTTTTTCCCCCCAACCTGAGAAACTACATTCGTCGCACTGAGACCTGTTTGAGCAGCTGGTCTGAGTACCCGAGCCACGCGCAGGAGGTGGTGTAGGCAGGATAACCCTCTTCCAGCATGTGGTCCTCTGGGAGGAGACAGAAGCAGTCCACTCAGTGTAATAAACACTCCAGGAGAAGTGTCTTTTAATCGAGCAATAGTGGAGTGCAGGGGGCTATTATGCACTCCTAAAAGCACTCCTGTTAGTTTCTAAAGAGGCAATTTCGTTCCGCAAAATCCCATTCAGCCATGTAATTAATGACTCTGTTTTTGTGTGCTCACCTCTACGCTGCTTGCCCTCCTGTGCTTTCATCAGTATGTCTGAATGAGAAAAGAGAAGCATTAAGAGTGTTGATTTGACTACACTGCATTCAGGTAAAAGAGAGTTTTCTTTCCATTAAACCAGTCTCACCTACAGCCTCCTCCTCTGTAAGTGCATCAGTGATGTACCTGAAGTCAATGCAGGAAACAATCTGCTTGGGATCCTGAATTGAGACGCATGAGACACGATATTTCCCAACGTGGTCACATCCTGGCCATAAATCAGACATCTAAATTTCCCGTGACTCACCATGTCAACAAGCAGCTTCCACAGCGGCTGCAAGGAAAAAGACGACAACGGATCATGAGTCATGAAGTGTCGAGCTTGTAATCTAATAACGCCTGAGCAAACAGTTCCCCACCTTGCCCTCTGCCCTCGCCCACAGGTCCCACACAGCATTCAGGACTCCGGCTACGGCCAGGTGGATCACTCCTTTCTCTGGGCCGAGCTGGATCAGACGACAGTTTAAAAACATGAAGCACTGGAAGAGAACGCTTATCTGGAGCGTGCATCAAAAATGGGTTCAAAGAAAAGAGGCAGAATGTGAAAAAATAACACCAAAATTAAGACCTGATGGAAATAAAGACAGTAAAAAAAGTGTGTTAAAAGTGTGCGATCATTAACCAAGACTTAGAGACCTTTTGCACACATTATAAATTGCTTTACTTTTTTCTTTGTATCCAAATAACCTCCTCCAGGTTTTTTTGGCTACATCCACCTGATACTATACATTTTTGAAAAACCTGGATTGAAGAGCGCTCTTTTACTCACGGTTAGTAACTTCTATTTGCCTCTTCCCATCAGTCTTAATCAGGACTTTGAGACCTTCAAAAACTAGAAGGTCTTTTTTCACACTTCCCTTTCGCTCACATTATAAATTGCTTTTCTTTGTATCCGAAGAGCCACTTCTAACTTTCTTGGCTGCGTGTACCTGACGCTACGACTTGAAAAGCCGGTATTTTATCATATGTATTCGTCGTCTTGGCCCATCAGTCTTCATCAGGCCTTTGGGACCTTCAGAAACACGATTAGATCGATCAGTAGCAGGCTACGCCTGGCAGCAACACAGAATGATTTTATATTGAAACCGGGATTCATGTGATCTAGGTAAGTGTCATGAATCAGACCGATGCCACATATCTTATTAGAGTAAGAATAAATGGATTTAAAAAGGTATCTTTGACAAGATGAGAGGATGTGAATCGCTCTCTCCCATGTTGTACAGCAAGGTGCTGTAAGCAAGATGGATAAGAAAAAAGAAAGCTCAAGTTATTCTACAAAGAACAGTTGCATATTAAATATGATAAAGTGTTGGTGTCAGTGTTATCTGTGTCCTTTGACACTATATTTTCAACGCTCGCTTGGCTGTTCTCACCCATCTCATCTGGCCGTCGCTGGTCAGCAGGCGGTAAAATCCCCGGAAGTCGCTCACAATCTCCTGCAGGGATTTCCCAACAACCAGATCAGCCACAGCCTCCACAGCACAAACCACTGCGGGTCACAATCACAACAAGTCAGCCTCTGAAAGACATCCGCACCTCACACGTACCACATGTTATATTGTACTAGCCTTTGAACAGATGCACATGAAACCGGTCGCAGCGTGTTTAATAGAATGTACATTACCACAAGATGGCGATGTAAGGTTGAACTTTGCCTCTTATCATTACAGTATAGTCTTGAGAAAATAAATGCTGCCTTCAAGTACAGTGGAAAAAATGGAAGTATATGAGTATGAGCATGATAAATCAAAGTGGAGACCTTCGGACTAAACTTCACATTTTATTTACAGTTTGGAAATCTACAGCGTGTTAGTTAACTTTAGACTCTTTTGTTATTTTTCTTCCACCGTACTGTTTTAGAGTTTTGCCACGTACAACAAAACACAATGTTGGGAAGCTTATTTTGTGGCCTATCAGTTGATGGTAGTGTAATCCAGTCTGAATTGTTATTGGTAGCTAACGCTACTAACGCAAAGTGTGTCTGCTCTCCTGGGGACGATTGGGACAGTATTGTTTATACTTCCTACCTTGTTACAAAACGCAGACAAAAACAAGAAAGAGCCTTTTCCTTTTCCTAATTGAATAACATGTTTACTCAAATGGCAGATGAAGACTCCGCAGAGCCAAGAACAAAGTGTCTAGCCTAAGTGGAATTCTGGGAGAATGCACTCATTTATTGTTTGGCTTGGGCTCTAAAGAAAGTAATACATTGTGAGCAGACAAGTGCATCTGTTCAAGAATCAACTTATTTGCATTACTGACCCTGTTCTCCTATAGGCCTATGATGATCAAAGCTTATTCATAACAGTAGCATTTTCGAATTTCATATAATCAGCTGATGTATGACCTAAATTATTTCACTCCACAACCTTTTGGTTCAATTCACAAATTGGAATGGAAGTTGCATTTACGCTCGAGGAAGTGGAAAATTCGGAGCTTGTTAGGGGCACCTGAACGCGGAAGTGACTTTGTTTGTATGCGTTATGCAAGTTATTCGTGGAGCGACATTGTTTCCATTAGTGCATGTACATATTGTAACGGACTGAGTGACATATAATGTTAACCTGTTATGTTAGGTGTTATTGTGTTTACAGAAAAGTTCTTCTAAGATGTTATCTGATATTTATTGTTGCATTTACGGAGGTCAGTGAAGGCCTCACGCCTTGTGGGATGTTGTTGTTTATGCAGGTAACGGGGAGAGTTAGTCTATGACCGGGAGCAGATGGTTAACGGCGTAGCCTACGGCCCACAGTAGCCTGTGCACTGTCCGCAAATAAAGGACCACAAGTAATATAAGGCTCGCTACAATATGATGTAGCGATCTTACCGATCTCCGTGCCCTTCCCCAGAGTAAACGTGAAGCCGAAGCCCTTCAGCCCGCAGTCCGTGTCGATCACCACATACGCGACCGAGTAATCCGGGTCGGTGTGCTGCAGAGTAGGACATTACAGTGGAGAGAGGTCTCTGTGAATGGAAGCAAAAAACATGCACGCACACACACAGTGCAGGCAAACTTCCTTACCATCGCATCGGAGCCGTGTTGCTCCAACGACGTCGGGAATCTCACATCCTGGACTGTCAAACCAGTAATTTTGTGCAACATTGTTGAACTTGTTTTGTGATTCAGAGCCACCGTTTGGAGAACTTTCTTCTGAAGTGACCTGCAGTAGTTGAGCCCACCCACCTCAGTCTGTCATTGGTTTAAACATGACCCACTTGAAACACAGACACAATCATAACATTTCATTTATAATAATACAAAACTAGACTTCGTAAAGTCACGTCTTTATTGTACAAATTCCTCAGATGAGACTGCACCCGTTACCTCCCTCCCAAATATATTTTGCAATCTTCTCCATTTTTTTATTAATAATCTTTAAAAAATGACGATTTTGTAATATACAAAGCCCTTCTTTACAAGCTCAGCCGTACAATTAGTGTTCTTCACGTCATAATACTGTCCCCTATGAGTCAAAGGGAGCGAAATGCAAATATAAGATGTAAAAACAAAACTGTCATCATTGCTGTACAAGTAGTTTCTGCAGAGCCACTTCAGATACACGAACATTCAGTCAGTCACACTGCAGACAATTAAACGGTTGTTTCCCGTTTATTTGGTGGCTTTGTTCATGATTTCCACTTTTTAGAAAGAGCTCGTAAAAACGTCTTGTTTCCGTGAAGCGTCATTCTGGCTCAGCGAGAAGCCGCAAGTCCTCGAGTTCCATCGCTGTTTAACTCACTGACACATTACCCACGCTGTCTTTATGTAAGCACGTCTCTGTAGCGATCGCAGTGAGATTATACAACCTCGGCGGTGAGGGACAGAAAGAATTATGGCATTGTTGTAAAAAAAAAAAGTCTGAGCAGAGATTTCTAGATGATGATTGACAGTCAGGAAAGTCTTTAAATAGAAGCTATGAAACCATGTGATATGAATAAAATGTGATAAAGATTTGTGATAACAAAGGAACATATAACAGTAAAACCAAAAAAAAGTCAAAATGCATTTTAAGACATTCGGAAGGCATTAAAGACCATGTCACAGTCTCATTGTAGTCACTGATTTGTAACACATAAGATATTGCACTGCAGCTGATGAAGTGTAGCTTAAATTAAGCTGTGAGGGATTTACTTTTAAATAATTACTGTCAAGTGGACTGTGACAACGACCACCAGTCCCCTGAGAGCTTCTCCCTGTTAGTTTAATATATTATCTCTGTTAATAATTCATTGTTCTGATGCATTATTCACCAATTTACCACAAAAGAATACAATTTGAAGGATAAGTGGAGTGCGAGCTCTCCACATTAAACCGCATGTTTTTCTATTGCGAAGCATTATCACAGCTTATTTATACAGCAACAGACTGCGTTCATGAGAAAGAACCAAACACGTAGTGTATTTAGCATGACTGTAATTCATTTGCTTCTTTCTACCACAGTCATTAATGGACATTGTGAAAAAAAATCCACATTGAAAATCAAACATTACACACAGGTAAGACTTGTACCATCAATGAAAACAAAACAAGTATCAAAGTCAAATGAAATGATGGCGGATGCTGAAAGCAAAAAAAAAAAAAAAATCAAGAATGGGTAGAGCAAGTAGTGGTTTATGCGACTGGTTAGTTTGGTTTCCAGTCGACTTTTCGTCGAGATAATTAAGAGCTCGTGTCTTCAAGCAAGTGTCCTCCGAGGCGTAGGGATACGGGTCCAGGCAGGCTATAGGTTCTCTCCGGGCTGGTACTGTGGCTCTGTGGCGGTGAAATAGTCCTCCAGGAAGGACTGCAGGTACTCGAACGTGGGCCTCTCGTCCGGGTCCTTCTTCCAGCAGAGCTTCATCATCTCGTGCAGGGAGTCGGGGCAGCCCTGGGGGCAGGGCATGCGGTAGCCTCGCTCCACCTGCTCCAGTACCTCCCGGTTCACCATGCCTGAGGGGGACGCAGGAGACAGGAAGGACCGTCAGAGCTTTTAAGTTTAGGTTTCAGGAGATTCTTCTTTAAATGACCCGTTTTTTTTTGTGTGTGTGTATAACATGTTTAAAAATGCCCATTATAATTTATTCGAGCGGATCAGATATACAAAAGAGAATTGAGGTTCAAACCAACAAATATTTGGCTTTTTTTCTTGATAAATGACGCAAAAATTTAAAACAATAGATCCACATTTTGAGCTAGCTGTAGCTTCATATTTAGCTTCCAGACATCAGAGCGTATTGATCTTCTCATCTAACTTTCAGCAACGTTTTTTTTTTTTTTAAATAATAATAATTTATTAATTGTTTTAGCGCTCCATCTAATGGAAAGGGGAGCGGTGTGAAGGTGGTGCAGAACACTGCAGGCACTGCTCCCCAGGGCAGTGTCAGTCTGGCAGATGGTTATAAACAAGAGTGGCGTTCAATCTCCTGATCGCCCTCCACCAGATGGCCTCATCTAATCTCAAACGTGTGTGTGTGTGTGTAATGATATCAGTGTGTTGGTGTTTGTGTGTTCCTCCTGCAGAGGCATAAACAACCAGCGCAGACAATGTCAGCCGGCTTCACTGCATCCTCAGACATTAAGAAGCATGCCAGCTTGACGTCTAACTGACAGACTGAAAGCTGATAACTCCAGCCGTGAATCACCGCCCTCTTCTTCACACCCAGAGTGTGTTTATGAGTGTGTGTGTGTGTGTCACTTACCTGGGTAGGGCACTCTGCCTTTGGTGACGAGCTCAGTGAGTAAGATCCCGAAGGACCAGACGTCTGATTTGATGGTGAAGCGGCCGTACAGGGCAGCCTCTGGGGCCGTCCATTTAATTGGGAATTTGGCCCCTGTAATGTAAATGGAGAGGAGAGGGGTGAGGGGATTCCACTAGAGGGCGCATGCCTCCATGTCTGGCTTTATTTCCAGTGAATCACAATGACCATAATGACCTACAATCTGCCTTTCTCACAGCAGACATTTTGACTTGTCATGGTAGGAGAAGCACATGTTTAAAACACCACCATAGCTCTGTCCCATTTCAGTGTCCCTGTGAGAGTGAATGTGAACAAGCATGCACAACACCAGGAACCTGAAACCAAAACATAACAACACATCATTTTTGGTTGTGCAGCTTGTAAATACACCTCAGAGAAAAGTCTCTAGAATCATTTTGAGGTTTAAGGGATAAGAATGATTATAAAGGACATTATTATGGATCCTGTGTTTAAAGGGTTGGTTCACCCAAATTAAAACCCTAGAGTGGATTTCCGTGTGTCCAAGCATGACATTATGTTCTATGGCAGTGTATATTTGTCATTATATAAAGGCAATAGATCAGTAATGGAAAATAAAAGTACAGAACAACCACCTTTATATAAAAACCCATCATATTTTCTCTCTATAAATTACGTTAATGCCATTAATCAACGTGTCTTTTCAGAAAAGTTCAAAGTGTGTTCACATACATGCACACTAACAGCAGCAGAGCCCCCAAAACCTGGACAAATAAAACCAAAACTATCCACACAGCCAGATACCACGACGGGTAGGGTAGTCATTTGGGTGAACGAGCCCTTTACGAAGCAGACGTTGCAGTGAGATGAAGCGAAGTGAAAAGCGCAACTAATCAGAGGGAACAGGAGCATCTGCTTTTCCACCATTATCCTAATTCGCCATGAGAGGAGACAACAGGGAGTCGTCCTCCTTGTGAGGTCACCGCTCTACCCTGACACCTCGTTCACCTGTGACTAAGACAGGTTAGGTTGTGAGTTTACATGTAGTAGGCCCGCCCACCTTGCCTCGCCGTGTACTCGTTGTCCTCTATCAACCTGGCCAGGCCAAAGTCGGCGATCTTGCACACCAGGTTGTCGGCAACGAGAATGTTGGCGGCGCGCAGGTCCCTGTGGATGTAGTTCATCCTCTCGATGAAAGCCATGCCGTCAGCGATCTGAAAAAACAAAAAAAACATTTGACAGCATCTCCTGACGGCGGCTTCAGTAAATCATTTTTAGCTCACGCTCAGAACACCAAGCCCCTCTGTCAGACACAAAGAGGAAGAAATAATGAAAGAACAAAAGACATGTTCACCTGAGGCTTAAAATAGAAACTAGACACAAATTCTGTACTCGAGGAACAAAAAACATAGAGGTATGTGTGCTGTGTCTCACCTGTGCAGCCATGTCCACCAACAAGGGGAGCTTTAGGAATTTGCCGTCACCCTCTTTGAGGAAGTCGAGGAAGCTTCCTATAAAAGCAGCGACAGCGAGAGGTCGTAAATGCAGAGCAGCCATGATATACTGTAGGAGCAATAAAAGGGCCACCACACCAGCTGCATACCAACGTTCTGCTATATATGAGATGCTAAATATTTCAATTTAGCCCTCGATCCTTACTGAAATGAAACTGAATCTCAAAATAAGCACACATGCACACATAAATCGAATTACTCATAAAAGCCACAAAAAATAAAAGGCATGGCAGCTGATGCTTTGAAAACCTCCCACAAATCCACTGCAGTTTTCAATTAAACATTCCCAGTTTCAGGCCTCAGGGAACCACGAGGGACTCTCAAGGACTTTCAATCTGTGCATCGCATTAATTAAAACCTCCATAAAATTTACATTTTTCCTTTAAGGAAATCACCATATATCATACATCCCTGAAAAAGCCCTGCAAGATCAATTTAGTGCCTGACAAATCTACAGGCTAAGATGTGGCTTTCATAACAGGACGCAGCTTTTTTTCCAAGGTTGTCAAAATGAAAGGTTTTCGGGTATGTCTCAGGTGTCCGCGTGTACCTTTGGCCATGTACTCTGTGACGATGTAAATGGGCTCTTCAGACACCACGGCGTAAAGAGGCACCAGCTTGTCGTGCCTGAGCTTCTTCATGATCTGCGCCTCTTGGAGGAAGGCCTCAGGCGACATGGTGCCCGGCTTCAGCGTCTTTATGGCCACCTTAGTGGTGCCGTTCCATGTGCCTGCAGAGACAAAGATAGGGAGAGGAACGCCCACAGGCCGCAGGGTTAATGAGTGCTGTTAATGGGCTGGGAGCAAGACAATATCATTAATTAGGTCTTGAAAATTGCTCAGACATGTGCTGTCATGCACGCACTCCTCGCAGAAGTATGCCTGGGATGAGCGGATACGAGGCCGGCGGTTTCGAAAAAGGTTCAAATAATTTTGTCTTGAGCTGAGTGAGACGATCTCTGGAGATAAAGAGAACACAACAAACAGAGGAAGCGACTGCAGGAAGTGGATAATTCTGGACAAAAATAGACAATAAATATAAGCAGAGTGTTTGTGTGTGTTCGACGACACAAATCCGGGCTAATTTTGAACAGTATTTCCCCATCGAGAAGATTGCGACTGAATACTAAACAAATGCTTGACGCCAGAAAGCATTTTCTGAACATGTTCCTGCGTGTCTCGTGTGTGTTGCTCTTACCAATCCAGACCTCTCCAAAGCAGCCCTGGCCCAGTTTGAGCTCCAGTCGCAAGGACTCCCGGGGGATCTCCCAGGCATCTTTAGCAAGCCCCTGGGTCTGCGGCTTGACTGTGGGGCAAACCGAGGTCAGCCTGTGGCAAAGCCCGTCGGCATGCTCTGTGACGAGGGGCGAGACGCAGAGATCGAAACGTTGCATTACACCCGGCAGTGACACAAACACACACACACGTATCAGTCCTCGAAACCAGCGAGATACAGCGGTTTTATAGACAAAGTCTGTTTTATGCATCGTTCATTCCTTTTGATGTGGATGAATTCATGCTCCTGTACTAACTGTGATGAAATATGGATGAGATACACCAAAAACCCGCTGCAGAGTCAAACTCAAATGAAGCGGGATGACAGAGATTTAACCTCAACGACGAGGCCCAAAATCCTAACTGCTCCATCAATTGTTATTAAAATTAAAGACTATTCATCTCTGAGGGCCTGCTGCAGGTGGCACAGCAAGCTGCATGGTGGCACAAAACAGCAGGTGTGTCGGAGAGTAATTTGCAGGTGTGGTGACAGACTGATGATGACTGATGAATGAGAGATGACAGGAAAAAGAAGAAAAAAAAGAGCGTGAGAGGGAAGCATTGCAAACTGCATACCTGTGTAGTGTTTGACGACCTTCTGTAACGTGTCAAACTGTGCTCGGGTAGTGATGTAGTATCCCCCGCTGTCAAGCTTGCGGATCTTGTAGTGCTTGACGTTGTCTCCTTTGGCTTCATCCCAGTCTCGTATGGAGAGAGAGTAAGCACCTGGAGGAGACGAGGGACATGTTCTTCATCCATCGCAAACAAAAAGCGTCAAAGATCGGACTGTAGAGCACACGAATCCTCATCAACTTTACAGGTGTAAAGTCAAGAAACAAACTGAGAGCAGAGGATCAGCAGACTGCACTCATAGCTCCCAAATGAAGCGAATGTATTTGTCAGGCACTGATAAAAGACGAGAGCATATTAGCATTTAGTTCAAAGGCTCGCAGAGCCGCTAGCGGGTCTGTTAGACTGTTCCACTGTCTTCTCTGTTTCTTTCATCTCCTTCTTTCTTACTACAACTTTTGCTACTTCTCTAATTCTTGGAAAGCTTCCGTCTTGAAAAGTGCTCCATGAATACATTTTGTCTGATGTTGCTGCGGAGAAGAAGCCAGTTAGGGAGAATGTATTATCAGGTTCCCATCAACACAGTTTGCTTCACACCAAAATGCTCAGTGGGAGTTGTAGTGAACTTCTTTCCTCACATTTTGTACACAGTTTTAACCTTTGAATTATTAATCAAAGAACCAAACGTCTTCTGATGCAGCTGCTCATCTTACGTACTGATGATTAAACCGGGACAGTTTTTTTTGTGTCCATACAAGCCTTTAAGTTCTCCAACTTCTAGCAGCATTGTCCACACTGCTACGACCATACTTATAAAGACGCGATCATCACCTTTAGTGGTTTCACTTTCTCGCACTAGGAAAGTTCCTCGATGGTTTCCTGGATTCAGCAGCAACCTCTCAGCATCTTTGCGTCCCATCTTACCAAAGTACCACCTGTGAAGAGGAAGCATGTACATTAAAAACTCAAAAAAACTCAAAACTTTAAAGGTCACATATCACACTCATTTTTCAGGTTCATACTCGTATCTTTGGTTTCTACTAGAACATGTTTACATGCTTCAATGTTCCAAAAACACATTATTTTTCTCACACCGTCTGGTTGAATATACTTGTATTCGCTCTTTGTCTGAAATGCTCCGTTTTAGAGCGTGTCTCCTTACAAAAGCCCAGTCTGCTCTGATTAGGCTTGTGAGATAAAACAGGGTGCACCTTTGCAACGGTAGTTCTCAAGTAGTAGGTGGAGATACTCAGATGGTGGCATATTCTAATGAGCCCGCATGTGACATAGGAAGGGAAGCAAAATCTGATTGGCTTGCTGAATCACATGTTTTCTCATCTAAAAACTGACTGGGGTTGTATTATTTCACAGTTTTGGGTTTGGTAGGCACTCCGAATACCCCAAAAGTATGTGAACAAGCATTGAAAAAGGGGACTTTTTCATGCTATGTCCCTTTTTTCAATGGTGACTGATAAGCTGACTGTTAAAAATCCCATTGTGAAGCTTCATCCCGGTAGTGAAGCTGTTAATATTTGGACTGTCTTGTTAGCCACGTGAGATGGGATCATGCTAGTGTTATTAGTCTCCTGGTACAGACTCCGTAGATGGAGGACTAGAGGCTATAACAAGGCCTTACTCTTCAGCCTGGATGGAGTCAGCAGGGGCCACGTAATTGCTCGGGATGTAGCCGTTTCTCCCCGTGTTGATGGAGCGAGCCTCCCACCAGTCTCCCTCTCTGCAGGAGGACAATGACACAGGAGACATGAGACAAATGACTCGTCCATTCAACAGTCAACCAAGGCCTGGTACCATATCCTGCTATGACTGATACGCTGGATGGAAACCGGTTAATAGCGGTTAATGGTTAATAATTCACGCATCAGCTTTTCATGAAATGATCCTCCCTTTAGCTACTATGGTGGCTTATGGGAAATGGTTTGAAGGCACATAGCTGTTTTAGCAATTTGTTCTGCATTCATTTAAACCCCCTGATTCTTTGAAATGTGCGGTAGGACTGAAAAACATTGTCACAATGGGAATTCAATGAGACTAATCTACTTTACATGACAATGCTGTAACCTCGGGCGACAATTCTGCCCCAGCATGAATTAAATAAAAGATCCACAGCACTGTGCAGAAAGCCAGCATCAGGAAAACGAGTCGCAATCAAATGCATTCATGAACACAGGTACAACTAGGAACAGGTGCAGCTCAGGATCACTGCTCGGAAGAGAGTCATCTCGTCATCACTGGAAACAGATCTGAGTAAAAGCCCCATGGACCGAGAGAGAAACTGGGAAGATGCTTACGTGTTGTTGATGATCTGGAAGCGGTCCCCTTTTTTAAAGGAAAGATCGTCAGATGTTCTAGCTTCATAGTCGTACAAGGCCACAAAGAAGGTAACGCCACCTAAAAAAAAACACAAAAACAGATGCATTTGTGATGAATAACTAGCTTGTGAACACATAACAGCAGAGGGCATTACGACGCTGAAGACTAGAGGGACTGCATCAGGAAACGATTTCATTTGTGTGTGTGTGACTGTTTAAATGGCCTATTAAGGTGGATAAAACTGTCTCGCCAAGGTCTGAGAGCTGTATTGATTTTCTATGGTTTATAATTCTGTAGTATGAGTATTTCCCCTGCATGGAAACCACGACTGTGACTAGACTCAAGCCAAAGGAAAGTCAATGCATTAAACCAGTTTTTAATAGCTTTGTCTCCCTTACAGTCATAATTTACATCCATATATACATAGATATGTATATATGGATGTAGATTATAACATACTAACATGTTATTATCATGTTATATGTTCTACAAGTCATAGTTCTGTAAATTATGGTAAAAGTCAACTCATCTTTCCGTCCCCTAGCAGCATCCTGTAAAACATCCTGCCGGCTGTACAGCCACGCCCTCAGACAGATATTCATATATACCTACCACCGACAACAATGCTGTCAACAGTAATCTCATTATCCCAAGCCATGGCAGTGCCACCTTCGCACTGCCATGGCTCTGAGAGCCAGATAATCCAACATGGAGGAGGATTACAACCTAAATCCCACAGAAACAGGAGGGTTCAATCTCATGTCTTTGCTCTCAGGATCGCTGTAAGCTGCTCAGATACATTAAGGGTGATCACAGATGATAAGAGGACCTGTGTTGACTGTAACAAGGAAAAGCTAGTTAAAATAACAATGGCTGGGGCATTAGCCGTGACCCCGACGGTGTTAAGTGGTTTTTTTTTGCATGTTTTAGCCCATTTACTGTAATACACAATCATGTACACTGCTGACCATTCTCCTCAGCTTAGTGCGTTTTGTATTTAAATCACTATTAACATCGGGCATCATGTAGCAACATTCTCTTAAATGTCTTCATTTTTTTTCTAAAAACAAAAAATGAAGAGAAGCTTTGTCCAGATAAGCCAAAGAATAACCCTCAAAATCTGCTCTTAACAGGTGGGCTGAATGATGAAAACCACTTAATGTGTTGCACCGTGTGCTCTGGCACACGCCCAAGAATTGGAGCGATGCCACAAAAAAAAAAAGCTGTAAGGAGAAGAAATGAAGCAGTAGTGAAATGAAGGGGTACTGTTAAACAAACCTATACAAAGTAAACATTGGATTTTCCGTATTGGGATCCATGGACCAATTGTATTTCTTTATCCCATGAATTTAAAAATGCAAAACTCTAAATATACATATAATAATCTAAATTTGATCATACCATATTCATGTATTTTTTATGTTCCTCAAATTCAAAACATGTTTCCTTGTGTTGCACAAACTGTGTGGAGTGTGAAAGCAAGATGTTTTTCCTTATCGTGTTAAGAGTTTTCTCAAACACTTGCAAATAAAATCTCTTAAGAGCAACAATAAGGAAACATTGGTGAGTCTCATAAATCAATGCACAATGCTAAATAAGCAAACTAAATTAGAACAAATCATAGCTACAAACAAAAGTAAGGGGACATTTTATTTGTTTATTGCTTCCTGTATGTCTGTTTTTAATCTGGACATTTTGGTCTTTATCATAGTGTGGCTATTCATGTGTAAGTAAGTAAGAAAAGCCACATCGAACAAATGACAAAACGCTGTCCAAACTGGGATAAAACCAGAGCTTAGTGTCGCGTGATAGCATGCTAACATATTCTAATTAGCTCCAAACATTAAGTAAGTAATGGGAATGTCATTTTTGCAAATGTTTGGTCATGAATCAAAGTTTCATACACAATCATGGAGCTAGAGGAAAAGTTGAGGGATCCCCAAAGTTATTATAATTCATTCGAAAGGGGACATGAAGGTGTGTTTAAAATTTCATGGCATACCATCCAACAGTTGTTGAGAAATTTCTCTCAAAACCAAAAAATGTCAACCTCACGGTGGCAATATTAACGATATTTGGGATCACCAAAGTCAGTCGGATTAATTTCCTTTGCGCTAGCAAATCTCCATCTCTGTAAGCATGACTGAAACATGACGGATTACACATCTGCAGCGAGTCAAGTCTCTACAACTTGATTTAAATACGAATTTAAAATCAATATGGTATTAAAAATTAGATACCACGGTATTATGGAAACACTCCAGCAGAAAGCTGATTGGAGGAAAGATTACGAGTGGCTGCCTGGAAGATAAGAAGAAACTAAAGCCCAATGGTACGCTTCAAAATAAATGTGGTCAGCATTAAAGCCAGAAAATAACACCAGTATGATATTAAAAGGGTACTGTGCTCCATGAAGACCATCATCAGCATTGTAACATCTTACACTAAAACACTACTCACTTGAGACGGCACCAGAGAACGAGTTGGACACAGGACCGGAGAAGGACGATGACGCTCCTCCAAAGGGAGTCATGGCAGACGGGCCGCCGAACGGCGTGAGGGTGTGGTTGAAGTTTGCCGCCCCAGAGCCCGATGAAGAGGAGGGAGGTTGGTTCTGCGGCAGCTGGGTGGGATCCGGTCCGTAGTGACCCACGTGAGGCGTGGTTATGGTGGCGTTGGGGTCTGACGACGTGGAGTTCTCTGGCCGGTACTTCATCGTAGGACCTTTGTCCTCTTTGCTCTTAACGCAGCCCATCGTCTCGTCCTGCCTGGACAGACACGACACAAAGCCGTCACTTTAATGCCAGCAGATTAAAGAATACAGCATCAAATCCATCGGTGATGATACATAAAAAAGGTGAAGGGGGCCAAGGGAGGTGCAGGATTAACGACGGCAACATAAGGCCTGTAGGCGCATGCACATCCGATATGGAACAAAAATCTAATGACCTGATATTTTCAAGTGAATCATTTTGTTGTTGCGACCCGCTAAGACTATAAGCCATGTGGTAACTGGGACATATGGGTAAATGGTAAATCCGCTTTGAACCATACACGACTGTAACGTGTAGATTCAGTTGAGCATGCATGCTTTGAGGTATGACAACGGCAAAAACGGATGGACAGAAAGATGATTATCATTTCATATTGTGATCTAATACATGGCTGTTCCATAAAGAGATCCCTTAATGTTTACAGACAAATGACGGATTAAAACCGTTCTAAAGCCGTTCTGCCTTGAAATGGAGAGAAATGAGAACTCTTCACAGGGCGCTCCGCCCATGTGCGCATTACTAAAGATGCCTACCGCACACAGAGCCAGAGGCCCAAAGGTTCAGGGGTCACTGGGCCAGAGCAGTTTGACGTTAATAGTTAGAGCGTGAATGAAATAACATGCAAAATGACTACAACTAGAATCAAAACTACCACAAATGGACTCAAAACAACTACAAAGGATGCATAGCAACTACAAAGAGAAGCAAAATAACCAGAAACTGAATCAAAATGACCACAAAGGGATGCAAAACAACTACAAAGAGACTCAGAATGACCAGAAAGACTCTAAGTGACCACAAAGAGACTAAAAAGAACTAAAAGATGCAAAAGTGTCGCAAAGACACTCAAAACAACTAACTAAAGACACTAACAGCGACCGTGTCTGAGTCCATATTGTGTCTCTGAGTCTGAGAATTCTTAGTTCACCTGCAAAATGTTACATAAACAGTCTGGGTGTCTCATATGTAGGAGGAATGGTGGGGGTCTTTAACATGTCTGAACCCAGAAACACAATGTCTCGTAAGGATTCAAAACATCGGTGTGTCTCGATTTGCGTGGTTGTCATTCCTCCTGCTAACACAATTTGGATGGAGTCGCACCGAGGCATTCTTTTGTGAGGTGAGGGCCCGGAAAATGTGGAGACAATCAGACATGCTCGGAAAGAAGTCCAAGCTCGGGGGGAGATCAGAGCGTTTGCGTCCTCCAAGAACAACAGCTGCTGGAGGAGTTGGACTTTAATTGGCGCTGACACATTACAAGACAGTTAAACAATAGAGGACTGAAGCGAAGCAGGAGCTTTTATTCAGTGATGAGGAGTATGAAAGCAGACTGAACAAACACAGTGCTACTGAGCAGCAATGTGGCACAGTTGCTGACAAGAGTGATGAGATTACAGGGTCAAATGCATCGGTGAAACAGAGGAGGCACCTTTCACTGATTTTGGAACAGTGGCCTTGATTTCGGGGAGGTGGGAGGGATTTTTTTTCCTCATCGGCGCATCCGAGAGTTCATCGAGTTCTCCGGCTGAACTGCCAAGGAAATCAACAAAATGGGTAGAAACCATAGAAACCTTCCAAAGACTCGGAGCACTTCGCTCAAATAAAACCGTACAACCGTTTAAATTGCAGGTTGCAGCTCTGAGCACTGGCAGTCCTCTACAAAAACATTTTACGAGCGGCCCGTCACTGAAGACGTGTCTGAAGCAGATTTCCAAAAAATGTCTTCAAAGGACCAATAAATCTAATCTCGGATGTTAGATCTCGAGCCAGCATGTTGAGAGTGTTGGCATGGGGGAAAAAAACGTTTCCAACCTTTTCCTTTAACGTAGAGACAAAACCAGTGTCACGGAAACACAGCGGAGGGCTTCACTCACTGGCTTATAGTCAAGTATGGCGGGCTGTTGTTTCATCGTCACACAGACGAGAGCCTGACTCGTTGGGTCGGCAGTGAATTTAGCACGCTATAAAACACTGGACAGCGTCCCAGGATTTAAATGTGAGTTTTCTCTTCCAAAATTGAGACATCAGCCGTTTACATAGAAGTGACATGACTCGTCCCAAATTAGCATTAATGCATAAAAACTGAGCTGAACTAATTGAGCCTTTGAAAGAATAATTAACAACATAAAAAACACCATATTAGCATAGTATCATTTGTATTCATACTGTATAAGAAGCTTGGTTATTAATTCTGTTTTTTTTCTTAACTGCATTGTCGGCCTGCACGCTGCTTACAGTGAATGCAAATCCCCATCTCTCATTTCCTGTCATCCCTTTACTGTCAAACTATCTCATACAAATTTAAAAATCAATACTTTTAGTCACTACTGCTAATACTACTACAGTACAATAACACTGGTTTATGACCAAATATCTGCGGAACTTGTGTTTAGTGCTAATTGGCTAATGTTAGCATGCTAACACGCTAAACTAAGACAGTGAACCTGGTCAATATTACGAGCTAAATATCAGCAGGCTAGCATACTGATGTTGGCATTCAGTTAAAATGGCCACTGTGTCGAAGCTGTTGTCTTTTATTATTGAAAAACACTTTGTTCTTTGGCTTTTTGTCAAAGAAAGTAAGCTGTTAGAGACAAACAGGAAATAGAAGTGTTAGCAGTAACCCTTGTGAGGATTTATACAGTAAGATTTAGACACTTCACAGGAAGTAAGAGACAAAGTGCTTTATGCTTTACATTCAGGGTTTTAAGCAGCGTTACAAACACGCAGAATTCCATCACGTTGCAGCAGAAGAGCGCTTCAGAGCGCCTCAGTCAGCAGACAGGGTGTGTACATACAGTCATATGATGTTTCCACCATCTTTACCAAGAGAGCTGAACTCAAACTGCACCATACTACACAGAAGCAATTAATTCTTCAGGGAAAATGTCTTTTAAAATATGGTAAATCTACACATTTTATGCACAATCGCCACCGACTCCAGGGAGATAAGTAGAGCTCGGCAAAGCGACAGAATAACTCGGATAAAATTCCCATTAGTGGCTGTGTGGGCATAAAGACAATGATTTAGTACCGGAGAGGAAGTGACAGGGGGGAACAGCAGGTTGGTGGTATGAGGGAGGGGGCAACCAGGCACACAGTGCCAGCTATACCAGCTTGAACTACGAGGATTATGAGGATGGAGGATTTACTCTAAGAGGATAATAGCAGAAAAAAAAAGAAAAAAGAGGAGTGACCACCAGGGCCTGGAGCTGAAACAGTGCCGAGCCCAGACTCCACCTGCACACGGTCATTTTGGTGGTGGCAGTGAGATGGGTAGACTCTCTACGAGGAGCTTTATCTACACTTCAGATTACCAAAGTGAGACTCCAAGGAGGAGGTAAAAAAACGATGCAACAATTAGTGTCGGTGGCATCGAAGGCCGCGAAGAGCAAGATGTCTTAATGAGAGGTGTCTGGAAAAGATTGCACCTCATCTTAAATAAATAATCCAAAAAACTGTGCAGCCAGACTGGATCTTAAATGTCAAACCTCACTGACTTTAACATCCAAGTCTGTTCACTTTAAACTCAAGCACATTCCTGAACAGCGGAGCCATGAAACCACATGGAAAAGCGGCCTTGCTGCTAATAATAGCAACTTATTCTTATTGCTGACAACATCCCGTTAGCCCCGGGATGAAAACATGACCTACAACAGCACACAAACACCAGAGGACTCCCAGTTGCACCAGTTAGGAGCCACACAATACCAATGAGGGAGGAAGGTGAAAACACGTAGGATCCTTCCTCTATCTGATGGGAAAGTCATGGTGCTATTAGAGTCCTGAGAGACTGATAGAGACAGAAAATAAAGACAAAGTGAGCTTTTCATTCAGCTTAAAGCGCTGTGATCTGGTACAGACTGAAATGATCCGCTAAAGGCTAAACATGTCTCTTTCTTTAGCCAGCATGAGGTCTTAAAAACAAAGATGTGTATTATTTTATTCAGTGCTAGCAGAGGCCTTTTCTTTAGTGGGAACTATGAAAAAGAAATTATACTCTGGAGACTCAAACCCAAAGATGTTCAGTTTTCTATCATTTATGACAAAAGAAAAGCATCAAATTCTCACATTTGAGAGGCTGAAGACATGAAATATTTGTCAGTTTTGCTTAAATCGTTTTTACTAAAACAGTTATTCGACTATCAAAATAATAATTTTCTGTCACCTGACTCGTCGACTACATGTTGGACTCTTCTTGTTATGTATTAACAAAGCTTCCAACACAGCAAATATAAGCGAGCACATTTCTTGCAAGAGGCCGAGCAACACGTCAAAAAGTTTGTATAATAAACATAAACAACTAAACGTCTTAGCTGACGAACAACATGGGAATATTCTCATAACTTTAAGACCTGCACTCTCCTTATCAGCAACCTGCTTTTGGTTTGCTCTTCCCCGCTCCGACCACAGAGGAAGAATTCCACACAGGCTTCACAAAACGCTGATAAGACAGAGGAGAGCTCCGTGTTGTCTCTCGCACACTCGAAGCCAGAACGATGAAGACGTTTGGGTGCTGGCAGCGGTCATGGTTCAGAGACAAAGTTCAGCTGAGTAAGCCGACTGCAGGAGGGCCGGGCGATCCACAAAGAGATGCCTAGCTTTAAGATACTTTACTGAAGTTCAGATTGGTTGATTAATCGCGTACTTGCTATCTGACTGAAAAGACACATTTTAAATCTTTTGCATATCATGAATTATAAATAAAGTAACTTTAAGAACTTTAGAAACGTTGATTCTAAACTACATGTAGGTTCTTTCAGCATCTTATTTTACTGAAACAAGCTCCACTCTTCTGGGGTTTAGGTTTTTCTAGACTGATGAAGTCAACATTTGGCCAGAAGTCTGAAGTCTGAAGCATCTGAAGGAGTTCAGTCTGAGTGAAACCCGGCCCAGCGTCCCGACAGACAGCTGTTAGCGGCTGCAGACGGGGAACGGTCTCTGGAGCTTTACTGGGCTTCAGATCTGCAACAGATGCTGCCTCACCACCACCTACCACATTCCTCTGCTGCCAAAGGCTTTAAACTGGGTCTGGAGAAAAGTCATGTGATGTTACGGATGTGAATGGGACGTCTATGGAGAGACATCAGCACGTGACTTCAGAGTGCCTGACTGTTTTATCTTGTCTTTAGCATCAATACTTCAGTCTTGAGTGAAAAGCTGGAAATTGAAGTTAATATTATCACTTTCTTTTAACTAAACTTGACAAATCAGAACACAAGTCCTCCTAGAAAATCTTTTTGTGTTGCTCATGTGAGTTATTGTGCTGCCAGAAGAACAGACATCACAACATTCTCTAGAATAAACAGGCCTCATGGGAATACCTGAATCCTGGCACCTGAGTCTGGGCTAAGTGTGAGCTATTTTGGGAATCTCAGTGTGTGTCTACAAATTTGTCGGCACAAAACAGGGCCGAGTGTTTGAAGTGTCAACATCTAATAGAGTGACCACGTGATGGCCTGGATTGGGCTGTTTTTTTCCTGTGGAGAAACATATCCAAACCCACCACTTCGCATACCGAATGCCAACTGATCATTTCAAGATTTTTACTGTTTTTCAATCAAAGTTTAGTCTCTTGAAGCAATGCTGCCTGTTGTAAAATATATTTTCTATGCTTTTTCTTATTCGGTGTTACTTTTTTCCCTATAATAACTTGTAATAAAAGATACATCCTAATGTGGGTACATGATATTCTCTTTTTTTTGTAAAAGGTCATTTTCTTATACATATACAGTATAGCCGTGACATTATATCGCTGCAAATGTTAAATATACAATGTACTCTCTTACTCATATTTGATTGACTATTTGCAACAGGCGTGGCATGCCTCATGTGCATTATGGGTATGTAAGATGGCGACTCTCTCTGTGCTTGGTGCTGGAAACGTTAGACATCAAATAAATGACCTGCAGATCTGTCAGTTTTTCATTCTGTTTCGATCAAAAAGTTTCACATCTTAGTAATGAGGCGAGATCTCACAGATATTGAGCTGCGCCTTTCTCAAATGCGGGAACATTTAGTCTGTAACTCTGTAGCCGAAAAAGACAGAAAATCTGAATTTGTGATGAAAAAGCAGCCACAGATTAAATGCACCGTTCTCACACACCAGCTTGGTGTCAGCTTGATACTGACCTTATTAAGCTGTTCAGGCAATTACGTAACATCTATTTTTTCCAATATCATTTTAAAAGTCAGTGTTTATATCAGCCACCATGTGTTACGTTAAATAAAAATGATATCGATGGGTTCCACACAGTGAGGTGCACTGATTTTACTGCCACATTTAAATAAGACACACATTTGCACTGCTACTGTTGAGCGATATAAACAGAAATAAAAAACTTCCTTGGGTGGAAGAACTTTTGCAGAATGGGTCAACAAAGTCACCGTGCATTCATTGTCTAAAGAATGGTGCCACATTGTAATAACATATATCTTAGACATCGCGGTATCCCCCTTTAACTTCCCTCACTCCTCAAGTTCACCAGCCCTTATATGGACTCAATACAAGCAATGATTCAGTCACGGATGTGCAGAGCTGTTCAGGATGTGCTGCGTCCTTTACATGACATGTTGAGGACACTCCCTCTGTCCCTGAACTCCAAGTGGAGGTGGAAAAGTAGAAGTAGAAGAAAGCAACAGCACAAACTGAAGACAGACAAACTGTGACTCGGCTGTTCGATCAGGAATTTTGAATTCACACCAAAGAGGGCCCTGAACCTCCTCTTCCTCCTCAACCTGCTACTGATTTTACAATAATCTGACTCAGCACGAGTCAAAGATTGGGTTGAATATCTGAAATGATGAGGTGGCACTTTTGCTTCTCTTGTGTCTGGCTTTAAATGAATACAATAAGTGGAACACAGCTTTAAAACAGGAGAACATTTCTGTGTGAGGGTTAATAGAGACAGACAGATAACATCAATTAAATCGTTTGTACTCACTTGACTTTAATTTATAATCTTGTGTTTTACTACGATATAAATGAAACCATATATTATGAAATATTGAACATGTTTAAATGTTATTATAGGTTTTAAAGGCAGAGGTATGCTGACCTTGTCCTACTTTAAAGAATGCTTTCCGATGTGGTTTCAGTAATAATCCTGCGGGACTTCACGCACATGCTGTATCTTCACTGATATTTTAACCCATTTAAACATGATGTAATGATTAATGCATAACTCTGGGATTGCTTGGGAGAATTACATGCATGCTACAACCTATACCGACAGGTTTGTATGCGTATTATCATAAGACAGTTTCATTCCTTTGTTGATGACAGGTCAGACAGGCGAGCAGCTGCGTTTCGGCCCATCCTCATCTAATCCTGCTCACAAAGACCACTTTAATTTGGGGATTTTTACCTTCTCAAATCCGCGTTCTCCTTCTTGATTCCTCCTTTTATTTCCTTCACCTCCGATCCGGGCAATAAAAGAAAAAAAAAATCAGAGTTATTCCAACAGGGACCGAACCGCCTTCATCTTCAGGCTGCAGGATATTTTATCCTGCTGGATCAAATAAAAAAAAAAACTGTGAACAGATTTGACGCTGAAGTTAAATCAGTGGAGCGCGAGAGTCATTGAGGACGGAGGAGACAGTCATTGTCCTCGCAGAGGATTAATCCAGCAAAAAAAAAAAAGTGAGATCCTGAAGTGTCCCAGCTCCTCGTAGCCTCTACTTCCTACTACTGAACTTACATCAACCCCCACCACACAACAACATGGCCGACCCTGTCTGCGGGACTGGGAGAGCCGCACACAGCTGGAGAGAACCGTCCGGTACAGCTGATCTGAGAACAGCTGAGGAGACGAGACGACCACACTAAAGAGGAGGGCTGGAGGCGGGTGGGGTGGGGGGGGGGGGACCGGCTGAATAGAGAAATTATAAAGAGATCATCATGTGAGAGGAGCAGAGGAGAGCGGACCTGCAGACTGGAGGAGGGTGGTTTCATGGAGAGAAAAGGGTGGACTCAAAGCGTCCTCTGTGTGCGCACCGTTTTCAGTCACAAGTCTAGAGCTCTAGCTCCCCCTGCTGGCTGCACCGCTGCTACTGCAGCTGCACATCTGCAGCTCGGGAAATCTGAAGCAGCTTGATTAGCCAAGTAGGGGACACCGGGGGCAACCGTAAAAATGTATAATTTCCATGTCATTACGAAAAACCAGAGCCGTTTAATGAGAGTCACGTCATCTCAGTTCACTCCAATGGACCTTTGTCTTTATAGCAATTAAAAAATCCTGTTGTCTTGAGGCTATTTTATCAAACGTGTAATTAGAGGGATACCAGCATCTAAATGAGAGTTGAATATTAATATTAAATATATATTGTGAGCTAAATATAAGATTGAGGTGTGTAAATAAAGTTGTGGATGTAGGTGTGGGAATGAGCACTTCAATTGTGGGGTATACGAGCCATTATAATAAAGTTAACGATACACAACAATAAGGAAGAGTGATATTTTTGTGACACATCTATTGATATGGAATTAGGGTGCATATTAGAAAATGCTAAACAAAACCCTAACATAGGGTTTGATTATTGACGGCTTCTGTTAACTATTACCTGTCTAGATGTTGCAACTCAGCTGATTTTTGATTGATTGATGGATAGCTGAGGGTTAAACTGGAGGACCTCGTGAGATAGAAAACACAAGGTGATGCAGGAGCAGTGATGCTGAGTGCTGAGTTAACATTAGCGAGATTTATAACATAATAAGGTGTGTTTCAAATAAGACAAGAATAAGGAAACATGCTAATTGTCATTATTTATTTTTATTTTTATTTTTTACTTACTTTTACTTGCGATAAACTCAAGGATTAATGTTGTTAAGAACAGTCCCCTACTTTGTCAGCTAAATAAAGTATTTAAAGATCCATAGAAACATTGTTATGACAAAGCTGAAAACAAATCTGTTTTTATTAACTAATGAAAACATGATTTTATGGAGATACATGTTTTTTAAAGGAACATTTATTTACAGTAATAAATAAATAAATAAATGAAAGTAAAAAAAGAGGGAACAAATAATGCGATGGTAAATCTCTGACAGAATAAAATAGATAATAGATTAAAAGAATTTACACACTGCATTTTTTTCCCATATGTCCAATTCGCATCTTAATTACACACGTTCCTGTCGCTTTCATTCACCTCAGCACTTCTGGTGATACACACACACACACACACACACACACACACGCACCCATCCTCCAGATTTTATTTAAAAATCCACTCTCTGTCAAGACCTCTCGTTGTAAAAGCTGGGTGGTAAAATACTTTAATCATGAGCCTCAATAAAACTCTTTAAACACGACACGTCAACACCAGTAGGCACTATAAAAAGCTAACAGTACTTAAATTAGAATGAGTCATATGTTCTTATTTGGTGATCTAAAGGTCACACACACACACACACACACACACACACACACACACACACACGCGCGCGCGCGTCGTCTGCTATTTGCATACCGATGTGTACAAACGGGAGCATATTTTCTTTTAACTGTAAGGAGACATTCTTCAAATTTACCGTATATTGATTTTAGCATTTATTAGATTGTGTATCGGTTTCATGACAATTTTATCAACACTTGCAATCAATATAATACAAGTGCGGCAAGAAAAGCAACAAGCATTTATACAGGAGATTAAAATGCTCAGTGCAGCACGTTTATTAATATTCCACTATGATTCTTACAGGTGTATGGCGTGGTGAGTCAAGCGTCAGGTGAATACTGGATCAATATTCTTATCTACTCGATGTTCTCAGCTCTGTACATGTAATTAGATGATGAAGAAGTGATATCCTGGATGCGTCAGCTCAAATATTGATTATAAAACATGATGAGGCAGAGTAATCAGCATTTTACTGTGATTACTGACTCAACACAATTAGACAGCCTTAATTATATTATGATTGTCTTGTGCTGATCTGAATGAATTTCCCAGCAAACTCATTAAAGGGTCCAAAAGGCAAGGTGACACACACACACACGTACAGTATTTGCCATTATAAAAAAACATGAAAGTGTTATTTAGACTTTATCTATCTACCCATTGAAAGCTTTTATGGTCCTACAGTATATCCTAATTATAGTTCCCACTTCCCTAATAAATTAACTCAACTAATCCGGTGATATTTGCTCTCTTTATATGTCTGTTTTAAATTGTTATGTCTGATATAGATCCTGTATATTGTGTAAGATTGTATCGCGTCTACCTGGAGGACATTAAAAACCTTGATACTCTTCAGTGCACTTTCTTCTCTCAGCCACTTGGATGCAGTGCTCTCTCAGAGTGAAGCAAAGGCTCCAGATCGTATCCCCTGCATTAAGGATTCAAAGTGCTTCTTTGCATTACAGCAACAAACGTCAGAGCCAGACGAGGATCGACCGGGTCTGAATCACCCACTAAAGATTCAACACATGATCCTGATACCGGTGTGGACCGAGCTGAGTCAGTGGGGATTAATACTGAAGACACGAGAGCCTGCAAATGAAAATTAAACACAACAGTTATTAATTATTTCAAGTAAAGTAACCAAGCACATTTTACCTAATCCTTCAGCTTCGCTACATTTCAGAGGGAACTATTGTACTTTTTACTTCACGACGTTTATTTGACAGCTGTTGTTGCTTTTCAGATTGATATTTTACACAAAACTATTTGTTGATCAGAGTCTGGCTGCGGCCCCTTGTCATGTTTCAGTCTGTGAGTTCATCAAAGAGTGATGTTCCCTCTAAACTTCTCAGATGGCTACATTTAGATCACTGTTTTAGGCCCAAAGAGGTAAAATTATACATTATTTCACAAAAAAAGCCTCAAATAAAGTCTCCAAAATGAGTGTACATTTGTGTGGCAGAATTGAAGATTTTTCCTCTTTTCTTCATCATCATCGTCATCACCATCATCTCATAGCCTCTCAGATTTGATCTTGTGGCCTTTTTGGAGGAGTCTGATCCCTAAGTACTCTAACCACTGGACTAAACTATTTAAATGTGCATAAAATTATAGAATAAACAATCTATGTGATAAAACATCACATACAACAGATCTTATCCTGCAGACTGAGTCCTTTAACTTTTGGTACATTTTACAGATTATAATGGAGTTTGAATGCAGATCTTTTACTTGTAATGGAGCATGTGTACATTGTTGTATTAGTTATTTTAGTGTCAGATTCTCTAACTGAGTTCTAATGGATAATGAGGATAATTAAATATATAAATATACTAATAGCTTTATGTCATCGTCCACTGGAATGTGTTATCGCATTAGTGTTATCGTGGAGGAAGATTGTTGATATTTGGACTCAACAACCAAACAAATGCCCCCCTCCAGATGTACTGTCCCTCTAGCCTTCACTGTCTTCCTCTCTATAATTTACCGGTCCTGTGCCCGAGCATGCGTCTGATTGGCTGTGATAGTGTTTTTGGTGGTTGGAGCCACTTTGTTTGCTTCCCTTATTAACTCATTATTCCACGCAGTCTGATGGCTGTCTGTTACAGTATAATAAGTATAATAACATAAGTAATACGCTGAATTTGAAAAAGTGTATTGGATTACAATCACTGACTGCACCTTTAAGTATCTTGTTGTGTAACTGAGTGTGAACCCTGATCTTAAAGGGACAGTTAACCCCAAAATCAAAAATACATATTTTTGTCCTTATTGTAGTTCTATTTATCAGTGTAACTTGTTTTGGTGTGAGTTGGCAGTAGAGATGTCTGCTTCTCTCCAGTACAATAAGACTAAATGATTCTGGGCTTATGGTGCTCTAAGCTTCAGAAAATACATCTGAGAATCTCAACAGCAATGTCTCTTTCCCAAAATCATGACCTGGTTACTTGTAGTGAATATGCAGGCACTTTGAGGCAAACTGTCCATTTAATAGAGTTACAGAGGTGAATAATGGGGGGAAATAAAATAATAAACACGTACTGATGGATGGATGGATGAAGTCAGCGGCCTCAGAGACGCCGCGTAGCCAGAGAAACGTTTTGCACAAGAGAAGCAGTGAGTCACATTTCAGCACCGGATAGTGTCACAAGACAATAGCTAAAGTTTAATATTTAAATATCATTAATAGTTCCTTTACTGACAACCTCTGTTGTATCTGGTTGTGTAACTGAGTCTGGCCTCTGAAACGTGGAACGTCAGACATAAACTTTTTGTAAAAAGAGAAGCTTCGTCTTATTTCAGCACTGGACAGCTCCCTCTGGTCCCAACCAGGCCTCACGTGATCCTGCAGGAGTGACGTCAAATGTTTGGCATTAATACCCTGTTTAATTGATTATGTTTGAATTTTTTTATGACTTGGCTCGGGGTCTTTCATTGACGCGGAAGAACGATGCAGTGGTGGTGGTGGTGATGTGGGGGGGGGGGGATGACGCAGCCACCCACCTCAAACCCCCACCCCTCCCCCACCCCAACCTACGTGACAAGTGAAAAAGGCATGTCTTTCGGATTCATGAATAAAAAACCAAGGGAAGTTAAGTTCACAGGACGCAGGGAAGTTCTCCGCAGACAAATGTTTGGCGCTCTCCATGACCGAGTACACGTAGACATCCCCAAGAACTGAGCAGCGGGCGCACTCGGAACAAACACAAGGAGACCGAAGAGGCGCTTCACTGAGGGACGAGAGGAGAGGAAGGGAGAGAGAGAGAGAGAGAAAGAGACTGAGATAGAGATTCTATCTCACTCTCCCAGTTGAGGTCTTCAGCTGATCGCTCACAACTGGTAAGCAGTGGCACTTTTCGGGTGCGTTTACGCAGCGTAAAGTAGCGAGCGTTTGGAGAACAGTCAGGTGTGGCTGCTTTTTTTTTGCTTTTAGAAACTCACAGGTGTGGTGTGAAAGTAAGCATCAAAGAATTCATCGCATGAGTTTGATTGTACACCTGTTCACTC